AAGACAAAAAAAGAAAAAGAAAAAAGAAATAACTATAGCACATTACAATATTGTCAATCGATACCGTAAATAACAAATTAGTGTTATATATATGGTAAGCATCATTATATATAAGTTGGATATGTTGTTTGTATATATTGATGGTAAAGAGAAGACATTTGTATGTGTTCTTAAAATACGATATTTTATTTTGTTAACCCCACCCAGATTTGTTGCATCATTTGAAGTCCTGTTTTTAGCGTTTCTACTTCCTTTTATGGCTAATGGTGGATCATAATTTTGCTTAGCTTACCACAATGTGGTGGATAAATTATTAGTGGCCTCTTTTGGCAGATAACAAAGGAAGATTCATGTTTTAACCTTTTCACTTTGGGTGGTGTTATTGCTACAGCTTCAAAGGTTAACACCACAGCTTTTTTAATTAATTGGCCATTAACCCACACGAAAAAAGTTATGACTGCTGCAAGTTAGATTCAAATGAGGGGTATAATAGTTAATTAATTAAAAAAAACTGTGGTATTAACATTAGTGACCGTGGCAATAACACCACCCTTTCACTTTTACAAAGTTTTTCAATAAGGTTCTAAAAGTCAATTACCTTTGCCTCTTTTTTCTTTTTCAATAAAACCCCGGCCCCACACAGATACATTTAGTCAAGTAAAAAGCCCAACTTTTAGTATTTTCTTCCTTTTTATAATCTGCATGGCGGCTCCCTTCATTCCACCAAAACTCTTTGGGATTAGCCACTGATTGCGCCCTGTCTCTTTAATTAGGGTTCGTGACCTTTGTCTCGCTGTCCATAGACAAGGCCCATGACAGAGTGGGATGAAATTGATGACTAGTGGTGCTTGAAATTGCCATATTAAATCAAGTATACATGCGTAGCAAGTATACAATTTGAATTTGGTTTCGAGGAAGGAGAAAAGTGCTGGGATTTGTTCTTGCTGTGCTTGTTGTGAAATGTGAGGAGGGTAAATTTGTCATTTTACTTCTACCGATCAAATGAGTGTGAATTTAAGTGTTGCCCATTGGGCGTTCACATCATTGTCCATATTTAAAACACACACAAACTCACAAAAGCCAAGTGCGGAGTTTGTGGTTGCCATGGCAGAGTGGAATACGGACACAGACTACACTAAGTTTAATTAATTATTGTTGAAGCAAGTTTAGTTAGTAGACCCTTCCGCTGTTGCAGTAGCAAATGTACAATTTTAGCAAGGATTTGCTTTGTGGCTAACATTTACATGTGAATTGTTGTTTTCTTTTTAGAAAAAAATAAATAAAAGAAGAATCAGACGAATATATTTTTTAATTTAACCTCATTATTATTTCATTATTTGTCTATAAAATTTTAATTTATTAAAAAAAATAAATAATTATTTTAAAACATATGGAGTTTTTTTTTTCCCCCTTTTTTAGGCTTTCTTCATCATTTTGTTACCTTAGAGATTTCTGGCATATTTTCATATTCCTTTTTTCATGTTCTAACCATTGCAAGCTTCTCTATTAAATATAAGCTATGCCAGTTGTTAAGTCTATGATACCCTGTCCACATATTATGCAGATTTCAGATTCCGGAATTATAAGGCCTTTATTCAAAGAAGAAAAGTTCATTTTATAAGCTCCATTTTGTTACCTTAGTGTGGTGGGAAAAGGAGAAAAAGGTCATTTTGTTATCTAGTGTGGTGGTCAAAAGGAAAAAAACCCAAAGTGCGTGCCGAAGATTTGTCTGAGATGTCTAAAAAGTTAGGTGAAGCTAGCACTAACATACTGTTAAATTATTTTATTCATTTTAGAGGTTTCTTTAGCTCTTTTCCACGCACAATTTGAATAAAGCGTACGTTAATTCACATTAAGTTTGAATAAAACGTATGATATTAGAAACAAAGGAAAGAGTGACTACATGAGAGGCCAGAAATCATGTTAATAAAAAAACCGTTGAAACCTAGAACGGATATGATACTAAAAGATGCATATACCCTCTCTTTTTCCACCAATTATCCCTAATGAAAATATTAATTCCTAACCGGGGTAAAAAAAAAATCGTCACATTTAATATATCTATAGAAAGCTCTAATTACAAGGTTTTAATGACACCCATATTGTCAAGGTAAAATACAACTCTTTGTAGAAAAATCTACAATCAAAATTTCGGCATTTATAAATCAAAGGTACAAAAGCATTGGCACCTGGCCTTGAGGCCTAGTGACAATAACCAACTCAGTGCATTTCGTCCTCCCCGAACTAAGTTAAAAACCCGCTATTTACAAATATGTTCAAAAAAAAAAAAAAAAAAAGTGTACAAGAGCATTGTCTTTAGATATTTTTGCTTTGATTGACAGTGACAGGTTTAAAAAATGTCCTTTTAAAATCCTTCCACCAGCTTTTAAATCATTTCCACGAACAAAGGCAAATTGCCCCCTAGTCATGGGCATATCACCATTCATGCATTCTAAGTGGGTGGTAATGGAATTATTAGTTATATAATGATTTTCTTCTTCTTCCCCACCCATTACCGATTACATATGTGCTGTACTTTTTTTTATGCCGTGGAAGCGCTGGGCCGAACTCAATTTC